GCACACCGCCCCTACGTCCTGTGAACCTAACGGTACGTTAGCGTCCGCTTTGAATTTTCAAAGTGCTCGTGATCGAAAGTATTTTTACTCAGCCAATTGTGAAATATCAATTGACATTTCAAACTATATATAAAGAAATATCCACTTTCACTATTCGTTTAGTTTTGTGACCTCAAAAGGGCCACACCTTCAAAGCGTCATATAGTAAAGAGTGAAATATCAGTAGATATAAGTAGATATTTCATAGGCTTTTTCCCAGTTCTTGTATCGTACAGTCGACCCAACTGGTCGGCTAGGTTTACATTTTGGGAATTTTCGGTCTCGTTTTAACGCGGGCCTGAGTCATTTTTGGTTAAGTATTTTTGTCCAGGGGTATTTGCAATTTGAGGTGCTTTTTCTATATATTGTTTTCCCCGTATGATACGTGATTTGTATTAATTGTTACTAAAGCAACCATGGTACAGCATCCTGACACGTGTGAAGCTAGGGGTTGTGGTAGAGCGGTTAGTAATGGTATCCAGTGTAATAAGTGTGGCTTGTGGTACCCCGAAAAATGCTCCAAGATGTTGAAGCAGTGCTATGGGCTGCACATTGACATGGAGAATTGCAGTGGATATGCGCACACTGTGAGGCTCTGACAGAGGAATATTCACGCATTCTGAAAGGAGCCTTGGTAGGGGCTGTGACCACCAATTAACCAAAAACCTCCGATACTCGCGCGCCAAGACCAGCAGCGAAGCTGGTGGAGACGGTAAATCCTAGCGTTAAACATACTATGAAGGAAAACAATGGAAAAGAGAAAATGCCGAGCACAAAAGGAAAGAAACCACTCAAATGGGCTACGGTTAAACCGTTGGAGTCGATAGAAGTGACTGCACGTATGGAACAGTTGAAGAAAGATCTCCAAGAACTGCAACGCAGCACTCAAGCGCTGCTGGGTCGAACGAGAAACGTCTTGCTGCATAACGTTTCGGAGTCAATGATTTGCTATACTAAAGCGCGACAAGAGGCGGATCGCAGACAGGTTAAAAATGTTTTCCGACTGGCGGGTATACCNCACAGGTTGTGGAGGCAGAACCAGACATCCAGACCTAGGCCTATACTAGTAATATTTTACAGCACATACAGCCTGAACTTTCTGCTCTCTAGGGCTGTTGCAGTGGAGATGAACACCAGGGGGTGCATCAAAGTTACCCTTGATACAGTTCATCACGCCCAGCGAGGCGTCATCCTATTGTTCCTGCAACAGTAATAATCCGACAAAGGAAGCCCAGAGTTATTCTGAGCAAACTAAACGCCTATATGGTGCATGTCGTAAGCATACCATGTCGAGGCATACCAACGCAGGGTGATCCATCAAGATCTATCAGCTGGATCACCGTTGAGCAAGTCCACAACCCTAAAACCCAAACCAGATGTGCAAAGAGCGACAACAGGAGGGAGAAAAAGCCGAGGCAGTCCGAGCTGCAGTCTTCGGGAAGAAAACAGATGACCAAAGAGCAGACAGCCCACTAAAGATCACTCCGTCGGAGCCATTCAAGGCTGAGGGAGATAAAAAGATGGGTGAGTCTACGGTCGCTGATAGCAAGGCGAAATCAGCGTCCGTTAGTTGGGCCAGAGTGGTATCAAGGAATATTCAGGACACTATCCTTCTGAGTAGGACACTATCCATGCTTAGAAGACAGTGAGCGCCCACGGAAAGACTCGGTGAGAAATTTGGGTTAAACCTCAAAGACATAACGAAATCTGTGGGAGGTATAGCCTGGTAGTTCCCGGAGCCTGATCTCCCGTTACCCGCAAATATGGTATCAAAAAACGTAATAGCTCCTCGGGCCCTACGTCCGAGGATCCATCCCAAGTAATAGAGCAAAGTTGTATGAAGGCGGAGGTGGACACCGTCACAGTGTGATACAATAACGCCTGCAGTGTTAGGGTAAAACGGGGAAAGTTGGCGACGCGCACCCAAAACTCGGTGACAATAGCTATCACTGAGACTTGGATGCGGCATGAGCAGTATGTAGAGAAGTCCAGAGACCACTCGGCTTATAGGCAAGATAGAGTGTACGGCAGACAAGGCGGAGGAGTACTCCTACTGGTTAAAGCCGCTTACACTTAATGGGACTCACCAGTAAAACTGGAAAAACCTAATACTCAAGCCACGGCATGTAGTATCCTCTTGCGAAGACGACCGTTGGGAGTGCTACTAATCTATCGCGCACCCCAGGCGGAACCCACAGATATGGAATAACTTGCTACAATGCAGAAATTCATATCGAGGACCCGGAGGATTTTAATTTTGGGTGATTTCAATCTTCCGGAGATCTGTTGGGTAGAGCGAGAGGCTCCCGCTGGGACAAAGGGAGAAAGCTTTCTAACATGACCACATGAGCATGCGCTCATTCAGCATACCATGCAGGCCACAAGGTTTCGCAACCAACGGAGAGCGTCCGTCCTGGACTTAATTATAACGCGGTATTTATCGGAAATAAATGAGATAGCAGTGGAGAATCCACTGGATAATAGTGACTATGGGGTACTGAGGTTAGTATTACCCATGAAACACAGCAAATCGGCTGCCCCACTTAAACGGTGCTTTAGCCGTATAAACCTTACTGCCCTACATAAGGTCGCAGAACACGTAGGCTGGGTTCCAGTATCTCACGAGCCAACGTTGGAAGAGCGATGGTCTGTCATTAGGGTAGGGCTGCTTAGACCGACCGATAGGTTTGAACCCTTCAAACCTAGGAGCAACGACTAGCATGATGATAGCCACAACTAGACCGGGTATCAGTAGTCTGGAGGAGATGCTGGGACCGTTCCAGGGCTTACCGGACTGCCGATGCATCGTCAGTCCACAAGAGGGCACGCAATAGAGCACAATCCCTGCAAAGGGAAGCGAAGTATGGACATGAGAAAAAGTTAGCACAAAATTTAACGTATAACCCTAAAAGGTTTTATGCACATGTGCAGGCAAACAAAAACACTAAGGAGGAAGTAGGTACACTGGAGGTAACGGAAGGCGTAAAGGCCACCATCGACCAGGAAAATACAAGTGCAGTCCTTACTTTTTTGAAGGGAATTTATCGGCCACCTACATCACAACAGAATGTAGACTGTAGCCTGGTTAGAACAAGGGAGCATTTCACGGAGTTCAACCTCTGTGAAGTCGACGTGATCCGAGAGCTCAACGCCTTAAATAGGCACAAAGCAGCAGGACCGGATGGATGTCATCCCTCCGTGATTCAGCCTCTAGCAAATGCATTAGCGGGACCGGTCACTAAGTTATTTAAGGAGTCCATCGGTACTTCCGGCTCCCAGAGGTCTGGAAAACTGCAACCGTAGTGGCCATTCACAAGCCAGGCTCGAGACACCATGTTTGCAACTATAGGCTGTTAAGTTTGACCTTGGTCTTCTGCAAGTGTCTCGAGCGGATGGTTAGGAAACAAATATGTTCTTATCTAATGACCCATTGGCTTCTGATTCAAGCCCAGCATGGATTCGTCGAGAAAAGATTGTGCCTAACCAAAATCCTGGCATTTACAAAAAGAATAGACGCAGGTCGGCAAGTAGAGGTTCGCTACCTAGATTTCAGAAAGGCTTTCGATTCTGTCAATCATTAGCTTCTAGATCTAAAAAAGCATACAGTGGGGATTCTAGGTAGGGCAAGAGAATGGACTAGACAATTTTTCAGCGGTAGCACATTCAGTGTGAGAGTTAGAAATTATACAACCGAACCTGAGGAAATATCAAGTGGTGTCTCACCGGGATCGGTGTTGTGTCCGCTATTATTTTTGATCTTCATTACCGACCTTGCGAAGGATCTCCAACATCCCTACTTCATGTTCGCCGATGATGTGAAGTTAGCTGGGGAAGGACTGGAACAGGATCTAAATACAGTTCGAAGGTGGTCGGATAAGTGGGATCTGCCACTGAATCTAGGTAGATGTCAACTCTTGACCACAAGAGCCAATGATGACACGAGAGGTGTGATGCACATGCAGCATGTCTCTGAGGTAAAGGATCTAGGGGGTAATGATCACTTCACTTCGACTTCAGGCCATCCCTGCAATGCAAGCGTGAGGCTAATAAAGATCGACACGAACTTTTCAGGTTGTGCGCTGTTGTAAGTTGCAGAGGACCCGAGGTTTTTGTACCTTTGTACAAAACAACAGTGCGTCCTCATTTAGAATATTGCGCAAAGGCATGGACGCCTTATTTTAAACAGGACGAACGGTGTATTGAGAAAGTACAGAGCTTAGCAACTAGAATGGTAGCAGGCCAGAAAGAGAAGGGATACCTCTAACAACTGAGAGACCTGGACCTGTTCTCCCTGGTCTGCAGACGCATGCGGGGCGACCTTACAGAGACATTTAAGATTGTCAAAGGGCTCCCGGGTCTAAAGTTCCAAAACGTATTCTCGTTTGCTCCTACCAGGGGCACGAGGGGGCATCAACTTAGATTGGAAAGAAGTCGTTGTAGACTAAATTTGCGAGCTAGGTTCTTCACAAACAGAGTTATACCACAGTGGAATAAATTACCTGAAGCAGGGGTTAACTGTGTTAATGTCAACTCTTTCACGAGAAGGCTAGATGAATTCTGAACAGTGATATTTCCCGAAGTTGAGTGTTCGAAGTGCTTCATTCGGCTTTAATTTCCGAAACACTGTAAGGGATCTGGTACTGCACACTAACATTCTGCCTTTCAGAAACTACTATTGACTCGAAGTGTTGGGAGCCAACGAAACCGCCGATAACACAATAAACTGGACGCGCGATTGGCAAGAGCCATTATTCGTTCTTTGCGAACTGAACTGAACTGAAACGACCTTGCCCGCGCGCGGTTGAAAATCTGTCGTGAATCGATAAGTTCGCGTTTTTACGTTTTATAAGTGTTTTCTGTACATCTTTGCTCATATCCTTAATTGTGGCCACCCTTAATTAACTCCATTCCACCTTATTCCATTGCAATTTATATGTTGCTAGTACCACTACTATTTAACTATGTATTCTGAGCACTCTGAGTCCTCCGACGAGGACACTTTACCCATGCGGGAAATCCCCACACTACGTGAGGTGACTAAAACCAGCGACTGGACTAGCACTCAAATAGCGCTAGAAGCCGCTCTAGTCGCCCTTGACCTAAAAGGTTCGATTATACACGAACTGCGTGGAAAAGTCACGGCACTAGATAACGATTTAAGTCACCTGACAGCGTTATTTAAGGATAACTTTCCAGCATGTCCTGCCGCAGGCCAGGCGATCGCGCTATTCGACACTGCAGCCAAACTAGAATCAGCGGGCATTAGCGCCAAACGGATTATAATCTGGGGTAGTTTCCCCAAGCTCAATTCTCCGATTCAGGCAACCGAAACCCTCTTGAGAAGCCTTACAGCGCTATCCCTACCCAAACCAAGCGGAGCGTCGTGGCTGATGTCCAAATCTAAGAAGACGAAGGTGGGCATCCTTATCACCTTCAACTCGGAATCAGTGGTGGCAGACGCTCTCGCCCAAACCGAGATCCTTAAAAGGGCATGCAACCTTGTCCGGGGNCAGACAAGCCACTGCACACCCGAAACCCGCGGAAGAAAGCCCCAAAAGAAACAATGGTGCCAGCGATCCCAAACTCCGCTGTCTGCCGGTGATCTCCCTCTCGCGCATTGACCACCAAGCGACGACATCCTTCTCACCTCCCAAGGCATGACAATCTCCTAGGGCCTCAAAGATATCCGCGGCGCGACCTATGCAGCCCCCTACAGCTTCAAAACCAAGACTCCACACCCCCGCCACGAATAAGATTAACCCCAAGACTCCCCGTAATCCCAAGCCACATCGGAACGGTTTACTCTGCAAACTCCCCGTACCACTCTTCTCAACGGAGTCACTAGCACCACAATCCCCCTTTTCCGTGACGCGCATCCCAGTGGGTATCAGGGATACCTCGCACACTCCCGTAGCGGATCGCAAACCGTCCCTTTTCTCCCCGTGTCTCATCCTACTCGTCCTCTCGACCTCTTCAACAGGTCGAGGCAATCACGCCGCAGAATGGTCCACAATCCGGACCGTGTCCACAGCCCACCCATTGCAAACCAGATACCCAAATTAGAGCCCCTCCCCCAAATCCCTCCTCTAACCCTGTTTCTACTGAAAACTCTGCTGAGTGGGCTCTGAAGTGCATCTCTACTAACTGTCTCAGTATCTTGAACAAGATGCTGGAAGTCAAACAGTTAGTGGCCGATAAGAAACCCCATGTTTTAGTCCTCACAGAGACCTGGTTGACCTCGGTAAACAGCGTTGGCGAAATATCCCTTGCAGGTTACTCATTGATCCGAAGAGACTCAATGAGAGGTCGAGTAGGTGGTGTGATCCTCTACACGAGTGACCACCTCCCCCAAGCGATCACTCTATCACTCCCTCCCATCCTATTCATAGACTGCCTTTGGGTCCGAATTCCCCTGTCCCGCTCTGAGACACTGGTGCTAGGAGTAGTCTACCACTCACCCTCCTGTGGCGAGCTAGAATCACAACTCCTGATAGATCAACTAAAAAGCTTAAGATCTATGCGCCCCAATGCGCATCTTCTGATAACTGAAGACTTCAACGCTCCGGGATGGATTGGCGCAGACTCCACGCCCCGGACAACACATTCGGTAGGCTGTTAGTCAACCTGGTCACCGAACTGTCCTGGTCTCAGCACGTCAAAAGCCCGACGAGATACAAAAACGGGCAAGCCCCCTCATTTCTAGACCTCGTCATAACAGATGGTAGTCACCTCACAGACACAATCCAACAGCACTGCCCTTTGGGCAAGAGTGATCATCCCGTGTTGTGTTTCGATGTCATAGTCCGCTGGCCCAGTTGCGTTACACCGTGTCTTGGGGAGGTTTATTCTTTTAAAAGGACAAACTTCAACAACCTGAGGCATTTCTTTCAAGCTCATACTCCACAAACCAACCAGATAAGTGACGTAAACATCTTGAGTAGCACAATAGAGCGGTGTATCCGCGCAGCGGACCATCTGCTGGTTCCTCGCGTCCGTAAACCTTCATCAAACAGACACCCCTTTCCACGTGCTATCCGTCATCTTTTAGAAGAACGTTCGCGGTCCTTTGCTCGGTACAAATTGATGGGTCTAATGGAAGATGCAAATGACTTCGTCCGCATTCGCAATTTATGCAAAGCGAGGATCCGAGAGTTCCAGAGAAACCAACAGAACAGCACTTTAGCCAGGGCACTGGTAAACTGGTCAGTCCTATAAAATTTATGTGACGAACCCGGCAAAACACTCCATCCGCCCTTNCGACGGAACTCCAGCCACCTCATCTGCAGAAGTGGCGGAAATGTTCCGGTTCCATTTCGACCAAATTTTTAACATCCCGTCTCCAGTCAGTCATCCCAATCTTCATCCCTCAACCTACCAATCCCCGTTAGATCACTTTGGCATAACAGTCTCAAAAGTGGAAGAACAACTAAAACGCGTCAACTCCTTCAGCTCAATGGGTCCGGACGAAATCCACCCCCGTATACTGAAAGAATCTGCGGACGTGCTGGCTGTCACATATGCCCATCTGTTTCAAAGGTGCTTGGACACAGAAACCCTTCCACAACAGTGGAAGAGGGCTACTGCTACCCCTATTTATAAGAAAGGCGATAGACACTTACCTACTAGCTATAAGCCCATCAGCCTAACCAGCATTCCCAGCAAGATCTTCGAGCGCCTCATCAACGGCGTATTCTAGGACATCTAACTGAGAACGGCTTGGTACACACTTCCCAACACGGCTTCCTACCAAA